TGTCCTTGTAAGGGACTTGGAGAGAATTGACATTCTCTGCTAACTAGAGAGAAACTACCACACACAGAGATTGTTTTTCATGAGTCAAGGTCTGTGTTGCCCCCGGCATTTGTTTTGTGGATAAATTGCAGGCATAAGCTCTGTCTCCCATATCTTCTTATCCAGGATGTCCTTCTGAAAGAAAAGGAAATGTGTTCTTTACTTCAGGGTTGTATACAATCCAGCCTGCCTTGCCAGGGGAATTTAAATCACTCTGCTGCTCTTTGGCCGCTTTCTAGCACTTGTAAAGCACATTAGAACAATAATGTTCTTGTCAGTGACATGGTGATTTGCCTTGCAAACCTCACAGCCTGGAAAGTCAGCTTCAGTTTTGCAGACAGCTTGTAGAATGCACTTATTGAGATGTGGTAAGTAACCTGCCTTTCTTGTCCTCTGCCTGAGCAAACAGAAGAAACAAAGCCCATGAAGTGCCTGCATAACATCTGCATGTGTCGAGTGGGAAGCTGCTCCTTTGCCAACACTCTTCTCTGTTAGTCTTACAGGGAAAGAGACACAAGCAGCATTATCAGAGAGGAGCTACATGATGCATATGCATCGATAAAAGGGACTTGGAGCGATGAAATGACTTTTTGGTGGCAGGAGTGCACTTGTCTTTCCTTCTATGTGCACACAGCATCCAGCCCTGGAGTAGATGAAAGCAGTGATATTGCAGTAAATGGTATTAGCACCCAGGTGGAACAGAAGGTGTAAATTCAGCCAGCAACGTGTGCAGGATTGACTTCTGATGTTGCTTAGTACAATAGGAAGCCTTTTGCACTTTCAGTCGGTTTTGCCACCAGATGGGAAGGATCATCTTCTTCAATTCAGGCTTGCTGAGACCAGTGTTGTATCTGGCAAAAAAATGTGAAAGAATTGGAAAAACAACTAATGTCTTTCAAGCCATAGGGAAAAAAAGAGCACCCAAGGATTCACAGATGACTTTGGCTCCTTTAGAGGTTTGCTCTGAGATGATTTGCCAATGAGTGAAAGCCTGATTTGCTGGAAGCATTGAGCATCAGTCCATATTCTCTGATGTGGGCATCAAATCCACAAAATAAACCTGTTTGTGCAAAACAAGTGAAAAAGAACAAGCAACCAATCTGCCTTTAAAAAATAAGTCCTGAAAAATACCTTGGCATAAGGCAGATGTTATGATCTGTGAAGAGCCTTTGTCTTCCATGCTGGTCAGTCATGTAGCCTTGGCATTTAAGTTTTTAAAAGTCTTTTGAGTTTTTAAAAGACAGAAAAACTTTTAGGTATTTTGAGCTTCATTTACTCGATGATTGGAGCATATCTCATTTAAGAGAGACTATACTGCAGGATTTGTGATTCTCTTTCAAAGCATGTCGGCCCTGCAGTAAGCACATTAAGAATCATTCCTGGCTAAATTATTTTGCAGACCCTTTTTCCATCCTTAGCCAATACTTCTACCACCACCAGGCAGCTCTTTTGCTTCAGTAATTACATTTCTGTGGAATTCTCCTTGTCAGAAAAACAAGTTGCTGAGACGTATGGTAGAGTTCACACAGATTTATTGTGAAAATGGGCAGGTGAAAATTGTACAGTAAGATTTAGTAATAAAAGCCATTCTTATTGCCAGTGGTTGTGTCTTATCAGCTGGGAGTTTGCAACAAGCCTGCCTGATTGACAGGGCAGGGAGAAAAGCTAAAGCAGAGACTTCTGCTGGAACCTGCAGCTTTAGTGTAACAAGGTGACCCCAGCAAAGCAGAAGACTCAGTGGTGTCTATAAACAAGCTTTTCTGCTTCCTTCCCTTGTTTTTTCAAACGCTTTCCTAACTGTCGATGCATTAGAAATCTCACTAATAATTTTCTCTGTTTCTCAGCAGATGATTTTATTAAGTAAAAATGCACCTGAAATGTCTATCTGATTTAAACAGAATCCATCTATAAATGAAAAAAATATTAGGATATCATTCATTGTAGGAGGTCTGATGTTGTTAATTGAATGATGCAAGGGGAATATTTCTTAATAAGAATACTTAGTATTGGAACTACTCGGGTCGTGCAGAATAGCAGTAAAAATGTGCAAAAGTTTGGGCCTTACACAAGATGGTTTGTTGGAGTGACAAATTGCCTGCTAGTTCCTTCTGCCTGGAGCTGTGACTCAGTGTGATACTGCAGGGCTTGAAGCCAGCCCCAAAACCAAGACCTGCAGAAGGGCACTTTCCATGCTCAGTGCCTGTTTCTCCACATATTCAAGGGTACATTTAGGAATCAGGGGAATCAGCCTCATTTTTAGGATCACAGTAATTGGGGGAAATGCAGTGAGACATGCTTTTATGGATGGGAATTGATTGGAGTTCCCTGAAAACCAGTAGCAACAAGTTGCTGCTGTGGCTGTCTGAACACAGCAGGAGAGGGGAAACCTCCTTGACTTTCCTTATGGAGTCTCATTTGGGGAGGTAAAGTGCAAGAGCCGGTGTTACATTTCTGACTGTGTCCTGCTGCCAGTCACAAAGGAGTGATGAGAGTTACAAACCAGAAGCTGCTTTAGAGAGGTGCAGAAGAGCGAGCTGTCCTTACCAGCTTGAGAAGTGAGAGTCGGAGCTTGGATGGGACTTCAAGGTGTCATTAAGCCCCAAACTCTTTCCACCCCTGAACAGATCAGCTCAACCCAGATGCACATCATTCTGCTACTGAGATATTAGTTATTCCATGAGAAACACTTGCTTATGCCACCCTCTAGTCAGCGATGGGTTTGCAGATGAGATTAACTATGGGTTTTTTTCAGGTGTGGCCAATCCAAGACTTTGAGCTGAAAATACAAATTCACTCCAGATTTTGCTGTTGATGGTACTAGTTTATTCTGCTGGTTTCCCTGGTGGCAAAGCTAGGAAATAGATCTGCCCAGGCATGTTCAGATCATGCAGGCTGTCACAGTAAAGACTTCTGATGCTTTATATTGGCTTTGTTTATTACAGAAGCTGTGTACCAACAGCTGGGTTTTTTAGATTTTCCTATTTGTGTAGAAAACTTTTTATTTCTTCAGACCAGACGTATTACCTCAGGATATTTACTCTGCATGTATAGCTATATTAGGCTCACCTTGGAATATTCTCATTTCTCAGGGCTTGTTTTTAAGTAAAAATCTGCTAGTTTGAGAAAAAGCATGCTCTGTAATATATTTTGCCTGTAACACTCAGGGCCCAGCGTGGTGAGACAGAAAAAGGGCAAATATTGTCAATGCTGATAGGCCACATCTATCCTTTTCCTTTTACACATTGCTACAATGTCTTTTTCCATTAAAATCAAACATGGACTGAGCAGCCAATGCTAGGATTCACCAAATGGTATTTAAAAAGATGGGTATTGTCACTCTAAGGCAAGTGGCACGAAAGACCTCACACCACACAGGCATTCAGCATGTTTGGAGAAAGTGAGGTGAATGTAGCCAGGGGCTCCAATTCTCCACTCCACCAATTCAGGGCTGGGTGAGGTTGTAGTGAAATTAAAAGTCTACCTAGAAGTGCTTCTGAGTCTTCATTAGGTAGAAGTTTGGATTTTTTTCTGATGGTAGCCGGTGTTGTGGATGTGCAGATAACTGTGAATATCCACCCCTCCTTCTCTCTTGTATGTTTGCTCTGGTTGTATAATCTGTCAGCATCAGCACGTGTTCAGTGGCCAGCTGTGGTGCCAGAGTTCATCATGAATGTGGAGATAATTAGAGAGTCTGGAAAACATTTTCAGGATAAACACTTTCCATTTTTGTCTTTTGCTATTTGAGAAACAGAGACTCAAGTGCAGCCTTTAAATCTTTTCTTGCTGTATCCTAATGTTTCAAAAGGACTTGCAATTTTGGATCTTGACTTGGAAACAATTTAAAGGCAGCTGATTTTCCATGGCTGGGAGTGCGGTGCTTCCTGACTAATCAGGCTCTTTAGACATGTCTTAAATTGGGTGCTGAAATACTGGATAGACAAGAGCAAGTAGTTGGCTTAGGACAGCTCTGTCAGGGTTTAGGCAAAGACACTTTAACACACAGCTCTGATACGCTCTGAGTGTGCACACAGCAAGTTAACACTCCTGAGCAGACAAGAGGTAACTGATTAAGGCACAGTAAGTCAATCATTAGCCCATGCTCAACCAAGTGATGTGCTCCAAATGCTTAACCCCTGTGAAAATTGTAGGCCTGTTATATTTCAGAGAGTCTCCTGCTGACACTGAGGATGGCTGACATGATAAAACCTTTCTTTCAAATACAATAGGATTCATTTGGGCTTTCCTTTCTTGATCCAAGTCCTAGAAGGAGTCTCCATTGACATTAAATGTGGTCTGTCCTCCCATCTAAGTTGCTGATTCTACAGCTGCTCTGTAACCTGGACCCCCTGTGTGGGGTAAAATAGGCAGAGAAAAGTGGGTGCAGGAGCTGTATTTGCATACCAAGGGAATGGGCATGGTTTCATGAATTTCCTGTCTTGTTTGAGGTTTTGCTGGGGTTTTTTGTTAGGTTTTTTTTTGTCTTCTGCAGGCAGACGACCATCTGTCCTGGCAGTGTAAGCACAGTCCTGGACTACCTAACACAGTTAGAGCTGTAGCCAAACTAAATCCCATCTAAATGCTGAACTCTCAAAGAGGAAAGAAATCTGATTAGTTTCCAAGTTTTAATTTCTTTCTTTGGGAAGTATTTTTGCAGAGCTGAAAGGAAGAGTTCTTTAGTCTGCTGCTTAAATCATCACCTTATGTTGCCACCATTTCCATATCTTCTCATTGTTCACATAGTATCTTTCTGGGAAAAATTAAATGATAGATAACCTTAGGGTTTCATTTCACAGCTATTTCCTGTAGATGGAAATCAACATCACTCTTTTTCCTGTTTTAGAGTTATTCCTTCTTTTTTTTTTCTTCCAATTTTAAATGAGGAGGTTTATCTGAGGTATAATAATTCTTTCATTAGTAGCTATGACATAGTCTCTAACCTTCTCTCTTCTTTTTGTCCTCAGGAAACCCACTGACTGTGGCCTGCAAAGCTTTCTTTGGATTCAGTGGAGAATCAGGCCCCATGATCTACTGGATGAAAGGAGAGAAATTCATAGAAGAGTTAGAAGGTCACATTAGAGAAGGCGAAGTCAGGTACTTTTTAGATTATTTACTGTTAAACTTATTGTATGTCCCAAAAGCCTGTTGAGTTTTCTTAACAGATTTTTAATTGAAAGTGAAAATTGTTTTCTGTCTAAAGAGTGATTAATGACTTGGAGCCAGGGCTGTGGGAGTTGATCCCTCCCCTTCCTAAACTCTGAAGACACAGTAGCTATCCAAGTGCCTGAAAATCTGTTATCAAATTCCCCTGGTAGGTGGTAGCTGAAGTGTCTCTTGAGTGTTCCAGGGGTTGATTTTAGCCCTGTGTGGAAATGGTGCTGCCCAGTGCAGCTGTCCCATGTGGCAGTCCTTGGCAAGGTGACATTCATTTCAGCATCAGTGTTAATCTTGAAGATGAATGGTCTCCTGTCAAAGCCACCATACTTTTTCTCTTCTACTGCATGTGTTGTCTGTCTGTGATGCAGCTCTCAGTGTGCCTTAACCAGGACTTTCAAAGAGCAGCATTTGTTCCTCCAGACTTAACACTTAAAGGAAGGAAAAGAAGTGGCTGTGCCCGATATCCAACTTGTGCTTGGCTTGTTCCTGATGCTGGTTATCATTTACTGTACCAACTGTAAAGAAAACACTCACTTGTATCCCCATGGACTTCCATGGAATTTGCACTTAACAGCATCATCTTCTCTTCTTTAACAATTACCTGATTATTGCTCTATGAGCGAAGATTAAGCTGTGGTTAAACTATGGATGAGGGGGTCCCAGCTCCTATAGACACGATGAATATAGATTTTCACCTTCTATTGCACGTCTTTTCACCTTCCATTGCACATTTTTTGGTCTCATATCTGAGTTTCTTGTAAAGGTAATTTTGGGGAGCAGGCAGAGAGAGGTTTCTTGGCTTTATTACTTGATCAATAATTTGAAGTTCAGCCATTTAGCCACTGGTTATTAAGATATACTAAAATAACTGACCTAACATTGCACCTTAATTGCACACAGATGAAATTTATCTTACATTGCCAGTGTACAATCCTCTTTTGGGCTTCTGACCACAAAAAGCAATTATTGGAAACTTCTGCTATTGTAAGCAATCAGCACTTAATGACATTGTGTCGTCTCTGGTGTGGGTATATATATGAACAGAGTGATTTTGGTCATGTTCTTCCTCTGCATCAGAAGGACAATTTGAGTTTTGTATTTAAAGAGCACTCCAGCTTAAGCACAGTTCAAAACTTTTCCTTTTTGTGCATTTATTAGTGAAACTGAGTTTGAAAAAGCTGTTATTTGTCCTTCATTGTGCCATCTCATTACACATTCATGTTGCAAATTAATAGGTGACAACTCCCTCTTCTCATTCCATTAAAATGCTTTAACTCAGTTTACAGACCCTTCACAATTCAGTGGATCTTCTCCTCAGCAAATCTACTTATCACGCACCTAATCTCCTGTGATCACAGCCAGCATTAAAAACAGCATTTACCAAAACCTACTGCATCATTACCAGCAATGCCACAGTCCATCCCTTTTTGCCTTTAGAAGTAGCTATGGCAACTGAAGTGGTAACTTTTGGCAAATGATTCTTTCGCAGTTAAGAGCTCTTGTTTACCTGTCCCATTACAGGTATGCTGCTTCAGGGAAACTAAGCAGCACTAATCATTCTGACAGAGATCTGAGCCAGCCCACATCTTCCACCCAGTCGTATTTATTGTTGTTTTTCAAAAAAATTGTCATGTATGTTTCAAATTTGATGAGCCACGTTGATCTTGCTGGTTAAATGCCTTTTCCATCAGTTTGATTCTCTGTGGTTTTTTTCCAGCATGTTTCTGTTTGTGTTGAGAAACTAAAAGTAACAGGGAATTGTTACAACCAGACCAAGATACTCCAGCTTTCCTTTGGAAAGCTTCTAACATTTTAACTCTGCATCCCCCATATTAAATCAGTTCACAAACTTAGTAGCACTTCGGATTTTTGGTGCTGTCGTTACCCTGGCCTGTGCCCATCTGCTGTGTTGCTGAATTTTCTGTGTATGATGAGAGTTCAGGTTTGCAAATCAATGCAGTGTGGGAACGCAAACCCCCTATCCCCAATTTGCAACCTCCAGTGTGCATGGTCAGCAGCTGCTGCTGTTATGAAAGCACTGAAACAAGGGTGCACTTAACTTGAGCATTCCTGTTCAAATCAAACCCATGGAACTGGAGGATTTTTTTCTAACCACGCTTCACTGTGAGTAATATTTGTGTAGTTCTGGGCTGCTTGTTATTTATTAGACCTTGTTCCAAAGCCTTATAATAAAAAGCCACTAATAAGCATTGCAGGACTCAGAGGCAATGACCCCCTCTCCAAGCTGCTTCCTTGTCTTCCCTTGAATTAAGATCCCCAGGTGTTAGACATGTGTGGGGGGAAAGGAGAAAGAGGCTTTGCTTGCCAGGTGGGTTTTTCACAGCGGTAATAAAAATGTCATGTAAATTGAACGAGGGCTATTAAAGAAGGAATCAGAGTCTTTAAGCCTGCCTTCAGAGTTGTCAGTTGTACCTCATTATCAAAGGAGCCCACAGCAAATTTCAACACCGTCTCTGCTACGGCAAAGAATTTTCAGGTATAAATCTTATTCTCCCAGCCACCTATGAGTTGCTTTTTTTATTTCTTCAGGCAGCATTGCCAAACAGTTTGCAGTTGCCTCAAAATGCTCATCTTGTAAAGTATGTTTGTCCTTGTTTTTTCTGTCTTGTCCATTTTTAAAGTAGTAATAGTTTAACTCCTTCTAGAGGCATGAAAAGAGGTGAATGAAGACATTTTGAATGGCAGCTTTATTTCTTCAGATTAATTTATCAGCCACAGAAGTCAACTGATGGTTATGAAATGCTCAGATGGGATGAGGTTATGTGGTATTCTGTTAGGAGGGGGTGCTGAGGGCAGGAGACAGAATTCCCACCACTGCCTGACCAGTGTGCTGGGCTCTTGGCAGAGAAGTATGGAAATGACAGCCCTCTCCTGAAAAGCTTACACTACTTAAGTAGACAGTTTCTGGGCAAAGAATAAGAAACATGATGCAGGAAAGTGAGAGGAAAGACCACTGTGCCCTGTGGTCAGTTGAACTACTTTGCTTTGGAGAGGTACTTATGTACTCAGGGGTCTGTCCTTTCATCTACAGCCTGTTGTTAAGGCGTAGAAGGAAGGCAGTAGAGCTCATAACCCTGTTCAGTGTCCAGATCCTCAGCTATATAAGGAATGAAAATAATCTTTCTGCTAAGTCCCATCTCACGTGTAGATTAGTAAAGGTTTGGAAATAATGCCTTGGTCTTGCAAAGAGATCCAGGTGAGGCTTTCTCAGGGCCTTCCCGTCTTTGATCATACAAAGCCTAAAAAATTTTAGGAAAATATGGTCTCAAAGGAAAAGTATTTTAACTTCAGATTCAACTTAGTGCACACAGGCATTGGAAAAAATATGACAAAAGATTTGAAAAATCCAAACTACTGGATAATTTTCAAAGAAAACATTTGTATTCTGAAATGACACTTCTTTTTTTTTTTAAATTCATATTCTTAACTGAAAAATATTCACTAGACAAAATGTTTTGTTTCAGATCAAATAAAATGCTTCAGCTTGAAGAAAAAGAAGGCACTAAGTGTTGTTTTTAGTTCACCCACCTTTTCTTTCTCTCTTTCCATCCTGTTTGTTGTGAGTTGTCAAGCGCCATTGATTTAGCAATGTATTAAATGATGTAATTACTCTTATAGTTTGTTCAGCAAACCAGAAAAAGTGAGCTATTATTTTCTCAACTTGTGAGAGCTGGCATGTGTTGACAGTGTTGCTTGGGTGAAGTTTCCCCCATCTCAGATGGGTATAGAGCTTCATCTTCTGGGTGTGCAGAAAATGCTGTTGCACCTCTAAGGTCTTATTGACTTACTATTCCTTTTGTCAGCCAAAAATGTTGTGCTCAGTATTCTCTGAACCAACTACAAAATGCAATTAATTAAAGGCTGTACATATATTGAAAAAATGTAGGTGACCAACTGTGTATTTCTGGGCAATAATGAATTATTAGCTGTAGAGTACTGGTTAAAAGAAAAGATAAGAAAAACAAAAAAGCAGCAATGAAATGTTTAACACCACCAAGAACATTCTGCGCTTTGCTGCCAGCATAAAGCTTAAATGTTTGTCTGCATTTTCATGATAGATCCCGTTCAAAAGAGATCCCTTACTAAAGATTACAATTAGAAGTAAGATAATTGGAAAAAAATTCTCAATCCAAAGGCATATTCTTTTTTTTGTGAAAGCTCCTTTTTAGTTGATCATGAATTATTTAAATTTAGGGTAAGAGTCAGTTATTTTAAATAAATATAATTTAGATATAATTCAAAATAATAGTTTCTTTTACTTTAATTGTAATCTGTCTTCATTTTTTTTCCAGTGTAAAATACCCTGATTACAGGATAAACACAAGACAATCAGAACATTGACAGAGTGCTCCAGATTAGTGTCCCAGATATCATCTCTGTTAAGGATTATATTGTTCCTTGCAGCAGGATTTGTAGGCCAAAATTTGTCAGGCATATTGTTTACCAGCAGAGGAGAAAGACTTTCCTGAGTCTTTATATAGATACCAGATTAATAGGTAGATGAGAATTGATTTATCTGACTCTCAGTGATTTAGGCTGGGGCTGCAAACAGACCAGGCTTTCTGAGGAGGTTTCTTTTCTGACCAGAAATGATGCAAATGCAACCTTTCTTCCATTATTTCTGGATCAGAAATTTAAAAACAAACAAACAAAAAACCCAAACAAAATTACAAAACCCAAAAAAACAAACAAACATAATAAATGAGAGTTAATTTGCAAAAAAAGATGAAATCTAAGTTTCCAAATGCAACACACACACACCTGGTTTTAAACTAATGATTTTCCCCTTTTTACACAGCCACAGTGAAAGAGGCTGAGTCGTTGTGGATGCTCTGGTACATCTTCTGAGTCCTGTCAGATCCCACAAGCCTTTAGTGGCTAAGTGGTGAATAAAATCTTACTGTAAAGATGTGGTTTATAGCAGTCAGGATTGCATTTTTCATTGTCTACTGCAATGCTCTCATACTTCTCTTCTGATTTATTTTCAAATTGGGAGTGTTATGTGAAATCACATACATAAGAAAATGTGTGTGCACATTGGAAACTCCAAAACAACTTTGGGTTATAACAGAGAAGTTTGGGCGTTGCTGTTTATTGACAAATGTTAAGGTCTCCAGCAGCAGTTTCTGTCCAGAGCAGGCAGTGCTCCCATTAGTTACTTCCTGCTCAGTTGCCTCCCTTTGGTCCCTGGAGAAAATATTTCATGTTTGGGGAACCTGGATTTTATTCGTACCTTTACCTCACAGTGCTGCAAACAGTTTTTTCAGAGAAAAGACTCACTGAAGTGCAATGTGCAGTGGTGAGTTCACTGGTGTCTGCGAGGGCACCCCACATTTTCTGTTTACCCCCTTCACATTAGGCAGCAGTACCCAAACAGGATCAAATGAACCTGGTAGATTTTACTTGATGTTACATTTCCTTTTTCAAAGGAGCAGCAACTTTTCCTTGAACAAGTGATAAGCCTTTTGAGAGAATAGGGTATTGTATTTTTAGACTTAATGTCAGCAGCAGAAAACACTTGAATTTACTTTGCATTCTTTTTAATGTTCACATGAGAACAATGACATGAAAAGACTGCACCTCTGGCCTGAAAGTCTGCTAGAACTTTCTATTCCCTTTGTAGTGATTTTGCATGTCTCCTCTGTCCTCTCAAAGGAGCAGAGAGCTCTTGTTCTTGACACTTCTAAAGTCAGGATCTAGCCCCTGAAAATAGAGGAAAGTTCCAGAGAGTAGCACAGCTCCTTTTGTTCGTTTTCCAGATTGCATTAAAATGTATTACAATACCCAGCCTTTAAAATACTGCCTTGCAATTTGTTCAGTGATGGCTTAGTACCACATATTTGCTTCTGGAAAATGGATATTTACTGCTTCTTTAAAAAGAAGCATTGTTTTTAGCATTTAATTCTGATGGAGCCAATGTAAACAAGCCACATACAACCATTGCACTCATGGCCACTCTTCCTTCACTTGGTGTAGCTCCTCACTAGACGTGGAAGGAGAAAAAGGCTTTTGGTGATCATGAAAGATGCCTCTGAAAAGTCTTTCAGGCAGTGTGAGTCTCCTTCTAAATCCTTCTCCCAGAGTGAAGGAGGCCAAGGAACACTGTCTGTCTTGTGCTGAGAAATCGTGGTTCTTTTGGAAGTCTTCCACCCGTATTAATTCAGCTAAAGCAAAGCCTGTATCCTTCCTTTCAGACTCCTCAGAGAACATCTTGGAGAAAAAGAAGTGGAGTTGACATTGATCTTTGATGCTGTAGAGGAGGCAGACCTGGCTAATTACACCTGTCACGTAGAAAACAGAAATGGACGGAAACACGCCAGTGTCCTTCTGCGCAAGAAAGGTAATTCCATTTCATTGTCTGTGCTCTCACCCTTTGCAGCAGCAACAGGTCAGCCAGAGGTCCTGCTGACCTCTCTGAGCCAGGCTGGACTCCCGTGTGCCTGCTTGCAGCTGAAGCAAGCTTGTGTACAGCTTCAGTTTACCATTCGTGGGGGAAAAAAAAAATCATTAATTGTTCTTTAGTGTCTGGCGATTCAGCCTTGCAGGTGATGCACTTGTTTGGAATACAGTCACCCATAAAACACCAATATGATCAGTGGACGTATTTTGGTCTAAACAACCTATGAATTTGACCCGGAGTGGACTGACTAGGCCAGGGGTAATTGTGTGATGGAGTTAAAATGTGCATTTCTTAGAACAGGTACCTTGGCAGTGAGGTCAGATGTTCTTGTATTTCTCCACTTTCTGGCTTTGTGTTTTAAATTGAAAACTTTAAACTGTCACCATGCACTTAGATTTCTAACTGCACTGAGAATGAAAACATGGCAATGGGAGCTACAAATTGATGGAGAATTACTCCATCATGGTTGTCTTTCTTGATACTGCTCCTGAATTGGGAAGGCCACTGCAGACAAGATATCTGTTAGCAGAAAGGAAACCATCTGGATTTGAATGGGCCACATTAAAAAGTGCTACTGTGTGCTGCTGTCATTATTGTAAGGAACTTAGGAGTTCCTCATTACAGTTCTTGTGTTGTTTGTTCAGTCACCTCCCCTATTCATAAGTAGGGTGGCATTTAAATTTGACAGTGATCTCTCCAAGATACAGTATATTAGTTTGCAGATGAAACCAAGTTGGGCAAGAATGTTGATCTAGCAGATTATTTTGATCTCTACCACACACATACATACATACAAGAGGGTAGGAAGGCTCTGCAGAGGGATCTAGACAGGCTGGATCAGTGGGATGAGGGCAATTATACGAGGTTCAACAAGCCAAAGGTGCCCTTGGGTCACAAAAACCCCCCTGCAGCGCTGCAGGCTGGGGCAGAGTAACTGGAAAGCTGCCTGGGGAAAAAGGACCAGGGAGAGCTGGAGTTGCCATCCCTGAAGGGATTTCAAAGTCATGTAGATGTGGCACTCGGGGACGTGGTTTAGTGGTGGGCTTGGCAGTGCTGGGTTAACAGCTGGACTCAATCATCTTAGAGGTCTTTTCCAACCAAAACGATTCTATGATTCTATGATCTAAAGTGACAGGTTGTCACAATTTTAATTAAGGAATCTGGTCATCACGATGAAGGATTAGCCTCTTTAGTGCAAAAAGTATTCTACCTTTCCTTCTACTGAACCTCATAAATATACAACTGATAGTAAGTGTATCTATGTTGGCACTGTTAAATGTTCTGCTGTGTGCATATATTAGAATAACAAGCTAGGTTTATTTATAACAAAAAAATGCAGATATTTCAGAGCTCTGCTGAAATTATGGAAGAAGCACTGCTGAATACAGAATTTGGAGGTGGAAAGGATCACTTTGCAGCTACTATTTCATTTCACTCTGCACTGTGGCTGTAAAAAACTTATATTCCCCTCAGGCATTCTCAATAGTTGATTTTCAAGCTATTAAAGTGTCATTTAAAATAACCACTGTATTTTACTGTGTCCTTTGACTGCCTGTCCCATTGTCCTGTTTGTTATTTATTAAGTTCTTACAAATACTTGACCAAACTTTTCCTTTCTGAAACTTGATTTAATTACTTCTTATCCTAGCTTTCTCCAACTTGGATTTGACTGTATTCATGAGCCAAAAAATACTACTGTACTTACTGGCCTGGGACAAGATTTAGGGCAGGACTGGAAGAAAGCTGTTAACCAACACCCCTTCTGTATATCAAAGAAAAGACCATGGATTTCTATTGCAATGTGCTGCAGCTTTCCAGGTGCTGAGGCAAAGCAGCAGCAGCACAGATCTCTCAGCCAGAGAAATCCCCCTCGCTCCAAAATCTTACCTGTTAAGAGCTGCATTATCTGTGTTTGACAAGAGGCATTTTTAGCTCTGTTTTGTCTCCAGGCTGACACTGGGGTTAAACCTGCCCTCTCCTCAAAAGTGTGATTGCAGCATGTCAGGTCTACAAAAGGTGGCTTTTATCGTGAGTCCTGCTAAACTAGGAAGGCTTTTTTAAAAAAACAGGAATAAACCCCAAATTCAAGTTGTAGATTAGTATAGGAGTTTCTATAGTTCTTGTTTTGTCATCAGATCATTACTTTTAACACATATTTTGCTTCAAAAAAGAAACATTTACTGTTCAGGTGTTTAAGGTAAAATGTATTGAAGCCTTTTGCTGCATTAGTGGTGTGGTCCTCACTAATCTTCAGGAGAATACAGGAGTGCTGTCTGCACAGCACCAGTGTACCAATAGCCCCAGAGCACCTTTCATCATTTATTATTATTGTCATTGGGCTTTTTTGACTGAAAAAGAACCAAATCCAGTTATAAACACCTGAAATTACCAATGCAAAGACAGAATCAGTCATGCTTCTGAGACCTGAATACCACTGTCTGCTGTCACATTCTTGATTACTGACTTAATTCAGGACTGCATTGTTACTTCTTTCTAGTAGTTCAGAAATAAGTTCTGGACAATCCTGGGTTTGGTTTTCTTTTATTTTTTTTTTTTCTCTATGTTGTCCTAGTATATTTGGTGCTCTAATTACATGGAAATGCAATATACACCCACTTGTCCCTTAGTTGTGGGAATAGTTCAGGATTCCCTTCAAAAGAATTATAAAACAGTCCAGTATTTTAGTGGTTGAAGTCTGTATAGTCTATAATATAACTGTCCTGGAAGATGAAAAGTTTGTCAGGAACTGCAGAATAAAATCAAGCCATGCTTTTAGTGGAAAGAAGCAGTGAATTGAGATAAAAGTAAATATTATGACTTTTGTTCACGATTTATTTCAAGGAGCCTGCCTTTAATCAAGACATACAGAGAACTAATTTTGGGGGTTTTTTGATACTGATGTAATTGTAAATTATGAGGAACTTCTAAAATATATTTGTCTCTCATTTATTGGGTGTTTAGGAGACTTTTGCTATTTTCAAGACCATAATCCTCTGTAATATGTTGTGGGAAGATCCTTCTACATTATTTTACAGAATATTATTATTTGCTGTTCTTAGAGTCACTATTATAGCACAAAGGTCAGATTCATCTCCTTTCCTAATGTTGGAAATGAGGCCTTCCTTACTGACCTCAGTGAGGACCATTTGTGGAGGAAAGAATTAATCAGAGGCTGAGACTAGGCTACAGTAGGAAAGAAAACTGCATATTCTGGGTTTTTCTCTTTGTCTCCACCTTGGAATGGAATTAAGGAGCTCAAAAGCCTTGTTTTCTGCCTCCTTATGTCTGGATTCTAGGAGAGGTTATGGGGCAGAAGGACAACTGCAGGATGTATGAAAGCAGACCAGTTTTGCCTTTTGAGCTGGATTTTGTGGTTTTGCTTAATACCCTGCTGTTCCCCCCCAAAAGTGGACACAAGTCTGAGCTCTTATGTGGGCTGTAAGGCTCAGAATTTCCTCTCCTTCCAAGCTGCCAGCTTTGCCATCATCTCAGTTTCCTAGCAAAGAAGATTCAGTGCAACAAAAAAATATTTTTTCCCCAAAAAGTGACTTTAACCAGCTCTGTTCTCCATTGGCCCAGATTTATCCCCAGAGCATATGCTAAGCTTTATCATGCAGTGTAATAAAAGTTCCATGAATTCCCTGTGTTCTCACAGAGATTAAATAGCTATTATAATAGACTTTTTCCATCTATTAGTCCATGACTTCTTGCCAGCCAGACATCAGAGATACTGTAAACTGGGAATAGCTTGACATCTGATGTTAATTATTGAAATACAAGGCTTGGCGAGGCAAGAATAACCCCAAAAGATACACAACTAATTTGCTTTTTATCTTGAAAATGACACAAATGACATAGGAGTAATTTTTTCTGACCTAAGTTTTAGAAGCGTGAAGATCACAAAAACTTTGTCTCGCCTCTATTAGTTTTGCAACTTCTCACTGTATTTATCACAGCAGCAAACATCTTCATGACGTCTTATCTGAACTAATATAGAATGCTACAGTCAAATTGTCATCCTCTGTCTTTTATGTCTAAATAATATGCCAGGCAGTGTTAGGAGCAATATTACATTCAGAGGATATTTCAGGCTAAAAGGCAATGCTGTTCAAGTTAATGTCTTACATCAAATGGCGCTCTGGACTGGTAATCAAGGGGGTTTTATCCCATTCTGTCATTGGTTTGCTGAGTGACCTTGAACATGTTGCTTCTCTTTTCTATGCCCCTGTTTCCCCAGCTATAAAAGTTGGATCCCTGTGTTTGGATGAATTTGTGAATTATTGCTTGTGATGCTTCCTAATAAAAGCATCCCAGTAGGAAATTTGAACTAGCACTAGTTCCCATTAAAGTATAATGTGCACTCTACAAGCATGTGAGAACTTTGTTAGCAGCCATCACAATTCAAACCAAGAGACTCTTAGCAGCCTGATGTGTGCTCCTGGCTTCTCATGTTATCTTGGGCTTTCTGGATTCTCCATTCATTTTCCAGTGATCCAGCTGAAGCCCCAGCTTGGCAGCTCACATCACCTTGTCCACAGGCTTCACAAATATAAAACCAAAGTTGTTTCATTTGGGAATGGGGGTCTAGAGCCTCCCCAGTGAGGTACAATATGTCTGGTTCTATATTCCATATATATATATATGTCTATTCCATATATATATATATGTCTATTCTCACATGCTGCATACAGCATTTGATGTACTCTGCCAATTTAGAAGTTTCAAACTCCACCAGCTCATTAAAAATTGATTAATCCTCTGTGTAAAAGCATTACATAATTCCCATATAGGAGAATTACATATATAGCCTCAAATGCGTTCTGGATTTCAGATGGTGATTTCAGGTGGGTGGTAGGTGGAATAAATGAGTAAAGTTAAGTAATAGGTAATGAACAAAAATATTAGGCATTCCTAATGTTACAGTGGTTATAATTGGAAGCTGCACAATTTTATGTGGAATTGTATGGTGGATTAGAGAAAATAAAGCTCAGAAAGATTATAACCTTGTTGTCTTTCCTTTCTAATTTTAGATTTGATCTACAAAATAGAGCTTGCTGGAGGACTGGGAGCCATCCTTCTTCTGCTTATTTTGCTCGTGACCATCTATAAGTGCTACAACATAGAGTTAATGCTGTTCTACAGACAGAACTTTGGAGGAGATGAAGCAGCTGATGGTAAGCAGTTGCACAAGAAACTCAATATATGCAGTGGAAATATTTCAGAGACCCAAAGTGGTAAAGTGTCCAGATTGAAATGAATCCCAAAACATACCTGCTTTTAGTTTAAGTTCAAATTACTAAGCATCCAGTGGTGTAAAGCCCTAAGACTTTCTCCCAAAGCCCCCTGAAATCAATGAAACTTTTCACAGAAATATCACTGGGCCGTGCCATAAGCAAGTGGGAGTCTGAAGAATTGTTCATGAGTCTGTTATAGAGAATTCAGCGTCATTTGTGAACTCATTCCTCAAGGGAACTCTTTGCATTCATGTGTCCAGTGCCATATATGCCCAGGATCACTTCTCCTGAGGTCTGTACTGTAGGTGGGCAGCTCTTTGACCAGGTATTCTTTATTAATCATTTTCACTGAATTCCCATCAGGCTGCCAATGACCTGCTCTGACTAGTGAGAGGTGATTGTTATCAAGGCTAACTAGTTACCTCAGTTAATTGAGAGACTGTAAACAACTTAGTGGAAATGCAAGGCTTCCCTGGGGAGTATGTTTGGGAATAAACTAGGCTGTTTTCCATTTTTATTCCCTCACCTTCCCTCTCACTAGCTTATATTCTGTTTGGAGCCTAAAGCTAAAGTTGTATTTTTAAACTGCAGCTTTAATTCTCCGAATTAATTTAATTCTCTGAATTCTATTCTGAATGTAGAACATTGCTGCTGCTATGAAGCTGGAGTAAGCCCTGTAAACTGAATCCAAATATTTCCAATTAAATCCTATTATTATGTTCTTAACGCCTATAATTAATATGTTATTAATATGCATCTAAGTAGTATCTGCTAAAGATCTGAAGTACAGTGTTGAATACAGGCATTGGCCATAGTCCACTTAATGAGCCACAGAGGCACTCTGGAATAGCTACATCTAGAAACTATAATGTCTTTGAAAAAAAAAAGCAGGGAACACATTTTCCGTACTGCCAAAACAACGTGTAGTTGCATAGACATGTTCCTTTCTGCAGTTAGTGTTACTGTTATCACAGTAATAAATGTTTCACACTGGGTAGATGTGGTGAGAAAATGTTCCACTACAATGAAATCCGTGGGCGTTTTGGAGAATGGATGGAATGACATCTAGGGGATTTTAGAACAAGGAACGATAAATAGCAGGAATAGAGGTCAGGAAAGTGGCTCTTTCACAATCTTCATGTGTGAGTGGCAAAACCTGAAGTGATGTTTTTTATGCTATACGATCCTGCACTGTATTTATGCTGGTACCTAGGAGAAAGTAAAGGGTGGGATTATTTGGGAAGTACTTTACCTCTAAAACTTTAGGATTATAGCAGCATGACTTCCCTGGTTCACACCAACAAAAAGTGGTAACTTCCTCTAGCCTTCTTTGAATCATTTATCTTGTGTTTTCAGTGTGAAGCTGCTGCATTTTTATTCATGTAACTTTTTGGGTTTGACCACTTTTTAATTTATGAAACAGTATTGTTTTCTGGTTGTTTAGAGGAAGCCCCATGAGTACATAGGGTATTTTATGAGCGTGTTAATTCTGAAAACAATGTTTTATTTTTCCAGTGCATGATTATAGACCTACTGCAGCTTTGTGTCACATTCTGATCCTGCAGAATAAAAGACAGAGGAAGAATGTTACTGAAGTCAAAGCATGTGTGGGGATGTTTCTACTAATGCAGGCTATAGTGGGAGTATACAAAGCTCCCATGAGCAGTCAGCTGTACTGATGCAATTGCAGGGTCATTTTCCATTTACACATGTATTTCTTTTTAAAAGAAGATTTGGGAACTCAACAGATTTGCTTTATTTCTATTTCTAAAAATACCTTATGTAAGCAATGCTGGATGCATTCACTTCCTGTGTTGTGTGTTGCATTGCTCTTAGAGAAAATGACACTGAGGATTAAAGGATCCATTTAGAAAATGGCTCCAAACAGTGCTGCTTGCAGAGCGCCCAGAACGAGTGGCAGGCAAGCATGGACAGGTCCTCCTGCTCTGTCCTGTGTGTGTGAAGAAGGAGTTGAGACCGGGGAGATGTAATACAAGCGTATGAGTCTCAGGAACCCGGGGGAACTGGTTCTATCTGCATCTTGCTCACTTGTGTTGTGAGCAGAGGTGACTGGAGAGGGAAGCTGTGCTTCCAGCTGTGCCAGGGCAGCTGGAAGGGGTTGGAGGCTCCAGGACTGAGGGCACATGGGTGTGTGGCTTTCACGCTGCTCCGCGGCCACGCACGTCAGGGCTCTGCTGCCTCTGCAGAGCTCACAAACATTTGCAGGGACGTTGCCTCTAGGATCACTTGGTGGCTGGCATCTCTTAAAAGGTCTTGGCAGGCTTCGTTATGGACAGGGGAGCAGGTTTTGGACAGGCCTCCAAAGCTGACTGGCCTGTGGATTTCAGAGGAATATCAGGAAGCCAGGTGGATATCTTCCATCCTCCCCTACAGCTACGGTGACACTAGGCAAATTGCCTTTTACAAATATATAATTTTTCACATGCTTTGACTGTAGCTCTGACCCTCATGGGTCTGGCTTTGTGTCAGGAATTTCAAATCATTTCAAGGTCACCAAGGAATATATTGTATTACAATTAGGGCTTTTTTTCTTTTTATCAGAATATATCGATGATTTTTAACTGCTTTAATTATCTTTCATGTGCACTATTCTTTACAGATAATTGGTATCCAGAAACCCTCCATTCATGCAGTTTTGTTCTCACAACTGTTTGATTTTTCATTTTCTGTAAATAATGGCAGCTGTGCTCTTCCCTGGAGACTGAATTGCTGAAGGTTGGCTTTTCCTATACACTGTTTTCCATTACTGCAGAGGAATAGGAAAGAGAAATGTCACTAAGACAGTCTGATGCCAGCATGGCATCACTTCTGTTCCTGGCATGGTCACCAGCTCTTAGCTCCACGTTTCAGAAGCAGAGCTGTAGACAAGCCCCAGTGCTGTGCAGGAGGAAGAGGAGGAGGTGTATTGCCCTTCCTATCCACCTTTGGAGGAGGTTTTGCCTCCACTCCTGAGCTGCAGGAAGAATGGAGGGGCAGGTCTCCCCCTGCACCCCATTGCTCTGGGAGTTATTTTTCTCTCTCATATGTGAGCCCCAAGTATTTCAAATGGCCTGGATCTAGTGACCTCTAAAATTATTATACTGATTTTTAAAACTATAGGATTTTCTGGGAAAAAAAAATACTTTGAACTGTTTGTATCTGGCATTGGGGTTTTTTGCATAGTCAGTATTCATTTGGGTTAAGCCATGTCTATTCTCACAATTACTTGTGAGAGGAAGTTCTCCTTGCTCAAAACTTTCCAGGCACACAAACTTTTCCAAGTTCAAAACTTTCACATAATCCTAGCACTCTTGAGGCACAGGAACTGAAAGATTTCCATTAGTAATATGTAAAGGATTAAAATTAAAACTTTCAGCTTTAGTACTTTGTGTCAAAATTTTGCCCATGACCTTTTCAGCTGACATGGGTCTGACCATATGGAGCAGAGTTACTGCTCCACATGCAGAAGAAAACCGAAAGGATATCCTTTGTCTGGATCAGTAAAATTTCTCTCTGGAAGCCAGATTATGTGTTCCTGTGAAAAGTCCCAATTTGGTTGGGAAATGCGTGGTCATTTCAAAGAATAATACACTTTCCTAGTACTTCCCTGTATTCTTTTTAGAGCTCTTGCAAACAGAAGGCTGAGTATGAATTTGTTTTCTTACAGACAACAAAGAATATGATGCATATCTTTCATACACCAAAGTGGATCCTGATGCATTAGACCGTGACAATAATGAAGAGGAGCAGTTTGCACTTGAAATTCTGCCAGATGTTCTGGAAAAGCACTATGGATACAAGCTCTTCATTCCAGATAGGGACCTGATCCCTAGTGGAAGTAAGTATTTCTGACCTTTCTGTTTTATTTCTCTCTGATGTGTCACAAAGGCCTGGATTGTGTGTAAGGTACTAGAGGAAAACCTCTCTTTGGGAAGTGTTTGCAAGGATTGGAAAAGTTTCCTCGGCAATGCAAATTCGAGCTCTGTATTAGAGCTTGTTCCTGCATCACTGAAATCAGTGGAACTGCCATTGATTTCAGTGGTGGAGGAAGGAGCTGCACCTTCCTACAGGAAACGATGCAGCTCTGCAAGCAATTCTGAGTCCAAAATGTCTACATCAGACACGGGTAGCTAAGCAGGAAACTTCCTAAAAACATTTTGTAGTCTCTGGTATGTAGTTGAAAATGGGATTATTATTCTTTTTCAGTGGTTATTTGTTTGTATGCAGCAACTTTACAAGTAAAAGCCATCTTTTCCCTTATCTTTCTGAGTTTTTCCCTAATTTGGAAGTCTCATATAGAGCTACAATTGTTTCCCAGTTAATGTTAAGGGTACAATTAGAGTTTTGACTAAGTATTGAATTTCTGAGCAGTGTGAGCATTGTGTAAGTCACTGATCTTGTGTAAGTAATACTAATTATTCAGAGGACTATGTACAGCCCCATGAGCCAACACTATTTTCCATGTTGACAATGAAATACAGTTGTGCATTTCAAATCAGTTTTGCTGCCGTGGCTGAAGATGCAGCAGCACCTTCAGATGTCTGTACCAACAGTTATAGCTTTCCTAGTGGTAGTTATGGGATGTTTTCTACCAGGTTCACTTTTCAGCACATCAAAAAGACCACAAATCATATGCATGATGTTGATGAATTTTGAGTGCACGGTATGTTTACTGCAATACCGCATTTATTTGAAATGCTACCCTTGTGAAAAAAAAAATCAGCATTTTTTTACTACAAATTCCATTTCCAAATCACTTCCATAAAATATAGTAGAATAGTAGAAGAGAAAATGAACTTCTCTCTGTATGTGCTACTGTATAGGAAATATGAACAAGAGAACAAAGCAATGGCTGTACTGGAGCAGATGTCCCCAAACATGAAACAGCTCGAACATAGCTGTGTTAGCAACCTGCCTGCCAAAAACCTGAAACTGCCGCATTGCTGCTGCCAAACCCCACTGCCTGCCCCAGAAGTTAGAGCCTGTTTCTTCTTTGACATTTGAGAGAGCTGGAAGCAGAGCTCTGAATCCTGTACCACTGGGAAAGAGGAGTCGGAGCCCGGCCAGGGATCATGCAAAGTCCTGTGTAGTGTCTTGAATCGATCGTGTGCATTTGCAGTTCCTAGTTTAGAGCTGGTTCCCTTTTTCTTTTTGCCCCTGCGAGGTGTGAGCTTTTCTCCCTTAGTGAGAAATTCCAGAAAGGGGACTTGGCTTATAGCCTTCTTATTTCTGACAGTACAAGCAAGTCATACCAAGTTCTTAGATATATTCACCTTTTTCACAGAACTGTTGTAATTGTTTCATATCCAGCAATATAGCAGAGTTATACATAGCAATTATGCAAGTGAATTAAAGAATTTAAAGTTAACTCTTCAATGATAACTATACTGAAGCACAAATTAATCCAAAATGAGATTATTTTTCCCAATTGTTGTACCAGGCAGCATGGTATTTTATTTTGTCTATTTTTGTCAGTCAGGCACTCAGCAAATACTTGTCATCACTTTGGGTATTCATTAAACCTCTCCTGAAAATGTAGGGTACCTGAAAATGTCAGTTCTCATTTATGAACATTCACAGATTTAATCCCTCTTTTTTCCTCTCAAACTCACTTCTTCAGTATTATGAAAAGGCCTGATTCTAACACATGGAGCTTCAAGAACGCTTAATCAGACATAATGACAATGCAGAATAAAATGTGCCACTGAAATGAGTGTGATTTGCATGCTTTAGCTTTGAAAAAGATATGAGAGAAGGCACTTTATTTTAAGTGGGGCTAGAGGGAGGGAGAGGGGATGGGGAAGGAAGGAAGACTCGGCCTCTTGTACTTGTAAGCTCTCCGTGTGTGCTGGAGAAGTGGAATGTGGCTGTGTTCTGCCTCGTGCTCACCAGTCTCACAAGGACTTGCAGTGCTTAGTGAAGGCAGTGTGATGTAGAATGGGCCTGCTAGGAACTTCAGAGGTAAACGCAGCATATTTAAGAGTGACTGTCTCAAAAATTGTCAGATATGACAAAATATGTAGCTCTCCAGGGTAGAGCTCTATAGAAAAATGGGAGGTTGACCACAGTTATCTTTTTTATTTTAGGAAATATCTCTTCTCACATATGCTGCATTTCCTCATCTTTCTGTGCAAATTATTTTCAATCAATGTAATACTTTCCTACTTTGTTCTGATGTGTTTCCTTCTATATCCCGTGTGCCTCAGCATGTGCCACTCTACTAGTGCAGCACAGGAACTGTGTTCTGTAGGACTATTCCTACTGTCTCTGCAGTTGTGAGGTGCTGCCACAGGAGGGTGTGAACCATTGCTCTTCCTTCCTGTTATGCAGCAGTACCGACAGCTGCTCCTCGGATTTGACAGCGAGCAAAAAATAGATTTGTTAAATAGTATTTCATTAATTTTTCTTGCACAGTTCTCTGAACGACCTAAAAAGCTGACTCCGGAAAAATTCAGGGACAAGTTTGATTATGTTTTTGTCCAGCTGGCTCATTGCTAACCTCTGGGGGAAAGCTGTGATGGGCTCTGCGTGTCCCTGTGCAGCCGAGGGGGAGATTACAGCCAGGTGTGCTTTAGCTGGGATGCTCCCAGCAGCCACCTCCTTCACAGGGCATGTCAGCCCTGCATGGCACCTCTGTGCTAAGAACCCTCTGTTTTAGGGATGTCCATGGAGCGACTGCTGCTGTCCCTGGGAAGATAGAGGTGATGGCTGTAGGGACTGAGGCCACTCTTCACCACTGGGAAGCAGATCCCCAGGGTTCAGCTCAAATGGGGCTGTCATGTTTTGTGTTGGTTTCTGAGCCCTGCCAGGATACAAATCTTATCCCATGGAGCTTTTTGTCCTAGTGGGAAGGAGAACACCATGAAGGATGCCAAGGGCCTCAGTGGTGCCCATCACACCATGGCCAGCAAGGACCTTTGAGGTGACTCTTGGTGCTGCCTGAGAGCAGCAGGGCTGGACTCGGCTCCCTGAACTGGTGAGGTGCAAAAGGGGCTAAAGCAGCCACTGCTCCTCTGCTCTGGCTCCTGCAGAATCCCACCCAGCCATGCTGGCTGGGAGGTGAAAGGGGTGACCCAGCAGGGAGATGTGACATGCAGCGTGCTGTGTAAGCAGCGAGACCGAGTTTGTAACCCAGGAATTGAGTTGCATGTCATGGGAAGTTCTATAGCAGCTATTTTTTCACAAATAATATTCTTTGGTCTTATCAAAGTGAATGTTCTGCATTCTGTCGAAGCTGACAGCACATACACCTTTCTGCCTAGGCAACTCAGGCATAATTGGTTATGTTAACCTGTGTAAGGAGACTGTGATCCCCGAGATGCACTTGCAGTTGTTATTAAAGTTTCTTAGCAGTTCTCATTATTTTCACCCTATTAGTTTTCAGGGCTTTTTAAACCCTTTCCCACAGCAAATACTCTCAAGCCCTGTGAGTTTTCTAATTCAGTGTTATGAGACCTGAGGAGACTGAATAGGGGGGGGGGGAGCAGAGGAGGGGGGCAGGGGTGTATAACAGCAGTAGTTATGTTTTCACCTGAGTCATTTTCTGTCTTGCTAAGGATGATGTGTCTGCAGAGAAAAACATCTATTTGCCCTTCACTCTTCTAAAATTGGGACTACTCAGAAGATATTTTTCTCCATGTTTTCTGCAAATTCTTTTAAACCCTGAAAGTGAAGAGGTCAAAATTGTCAAGTTTGATTTTTAATCCCAGCAATACAAATCTATTAGAGCATCATCTAGTTGCTCTGTAAGCATATGTACATTTGGTCTTGACAGGATTGGAAAAAATACAAACAATTCACCCCAGCTCAGCCCAGGGTAAACAGATCAGGCAGTGAAAAGAACTACAGTGATAATCTTTGCTTTTTACCTGAAAAATAACTCTCAACAAAACAGAAGAGTGCCTCAGACACGATAAAAAGCACCCAACAGTCAGTATTGCAGTTCTGGCATTTTGTAGTTTTGTCTGCCCATCTGTGTGGGGTTTACCCGGTGAATTCCAGCTTCCTGGGCTCCTGGAAGAAGAAAACCCAGTTGGATCATATGTCTGGAGTTCCCAAGGAGCCTTAATTAGGTATGAGATGCCTTTTCTTCAGAACAGGAACAACTCTTTTCTGAAGTCCCTGGTTGTCTGCTCTGTATGAGTCTTACACTTCATGCCAGGCATGGGCGAGGGTAGCAGGGATAGAGAGGGATAACAGCTGAAAAAGGGAGAAATGTGAGCACAAGCCAGAAGGGCTGGCTGTCCTGTAACAGCCCACTGAAGGCCACCAAGGTGGTCAGGGAGCTGGAGCACACAGTATGAGAGGAGAGCCCAAAAGAAAAGGCCAACAAAGATAAAGCTAAGGAGAGACCTGATTGTTATTTTTCCAGTGGACAGCACAAAGGTGGAGGCAGCCTCTTCCCAGAGGTGCACAGTTGTTGAACAAGAGGTCATAGGTATTAGGTGCAACAGCGAAAATTCCATTTAAACATCTGGAAAGTTTTACTCACCATGGAGGTGGTCAGAAACTGAAACACCCCAGAGACACTGAGAAACCTCCAATCTTGGAGGTCTTCAAAACATACTGGACAAAGTCCTGAGCAATACCCTTCAGGCAGGATATTGAGCTGGAGACCTTCAGGGTCCCCTTCTAACCTGCATCAGTCTATGAATCTTTGATTATAAATATCCAGAATTTTATTTCAGCCATCTATTGCCAAGACAATTTTACCAACATTGCCCACTTCAGACAATTCAGCCTGCAAGGAGACATTCCCAGAACTTCCATATTTTCTATTTTCCTTCTCCTTAATCCCTCCTTCCTTTACCATGTCAAATACAGAAAGTCTGATGATGGCAAGGGGAGGAATATGCTGAGAGGGCAATGTGTCACACTGCTCTGCAGTATTTGTTTGTTTATGTTGAACTCATCAACTGTCCCTCAGCTTGTACTGGGATTGGGCTCTCTCTCAGGAGGGGCCATTACTCTGCTCTGTGTTTCAGCAGTTCCAGCTTCACTGCTGTTCTGGTCTGAGCTAATAGAAGCAAAACATATTTAATAAATAGGAAAGCAATACATGCATTTATTTGTGTTACAATAAAGTGGTCAGATTTAGGGTTTGGGAACTATTCAGATAGGAAGCCAGAACTGAATTGCTCTTCTATAAATAACTTCCTCAAGTGATGGTCACGTTGCCAAACAGAGAAAGGCTGGTTATTTTCAGACTGCCAGGAACCAGCCAGCAGGGGGTTGATGGTAGATACTCTTTGTTTCTTGTGGTGCTGGTGTTTCCCAAAAATATCCATAGGACTTTATATGATTTCTAGTGTTTTTTCTTTCTCCCTCGACTACTTCTGCAAATCATCTAAATCTGGTTAGTCAGTCGTTCCTTTGTGTAAGCAACTCCGTATCCATGGTGTTCATTAATTTCCGTGCCATTAGTCTGCTTGCATATTACATTTCCTTCCAGCTTGTGGCTAATGTAGCTCATTCAAGATTCCATAGGCAGTTATGCATGATTTAATTGCAAATGGGATGCATCGCTTGGAATTCTCTTCGTCAGTGCTTCAAACTACAGTTCAGCATTACTACATGTTGATGGTGTTTGGTGAGCACATGTTTGCTGTCAGGTGATCTGTCTTCATTACTTGTGGACAACCATGCAGAAAAGATGTTTGGTTTGGGGTATAACATTTCTTGCTGTCCGTGCCTCCTTGGGCGTTGCATTGAACATGATGCAAATAAGTTACTGATACAGTCACTCACAATTTCAGGTTTTTTATCTATGGGATTTGCTAACATTTCGAGAACAGTATTGTGCCATATTGCAAAATGGTGCTTAAAGAAGGGGGAAAAAGGGCCAAAATTTAAAATGCTCTTTTTCAATGAAATCCAAGTGGGTAAATTCTAATGCCGGCATTTTATTTTTACATTCCAGTTTATAATAAAAACACAGTCTTTGGGAATTAAAAGCAAATAATCCCATACTGATTTTGTCAAGACAACTTTTTCTCCCCTCACAATGAAATATGGAAGTTGACACCTTCTCAGCAAAAGTGAAGTTACAGCAAAGTTATATTTCTCAGATGGACATACGTTGCTCTGGAATCTTACACTTGATGCTAGTTGGTGATGTCATTCCTGAAGTCCCTGCTCAGGTTTTTTTCTTTTTTTGTAAGTGAAACAGAACCATTGCCTGACAATTACTGCTTAGCTCCCTGGAAGGGTGAAAGCAACCCTTTCTCCATACCACACTGCAATATAGATTGCTTGGATTTGATACCTTCTCATGGACTCAACACTTGAGACAGACAACTGAAACTGCTGTGTTTTGGGAAGTCTCAAATTCTGAAGTGAAATGAGAGTGGGTGATTTAGCAACTCATAGGTTTGTGCAGTCAGACTGGTATCACTGGAAAATACAAAGCTGGAATTTCCACAGACAGGAATCTGTCTTCCTGTGCTTTTCTTCACAGAAATGTTCAAGTTGTGCACATTGGACATATGGTAGAGAATGCACCCAATGGAACCACGTGCTCCAGGAAACTTGTCACCAACCTTCAGTAGTAAGGGAGTACTGAGTACTTCTAGACCAGATGGCTGGAACTGTGGCTTTCCAGTTTCCTGTTCAGTGTAATTTTTCCTCAGTGCACCAACAGGTCCTCTGTTCACCAGCCATGTCTGTGGAGCTATAACAGCTCCAGATGTGGAATTTGAGGCATCACCTCATGGTCATTTGGGAAGTGTCTTTTAGTCAGCTGAGAACAGAGCTCTAACCTGTTGCAATGCTCAGTAAGAAAGGTGGACATGCCAAAATGTGGGAGAGGCACCAAGGGGAGAAATGTCCATCTGAGAAAACAGGGAATTTTTCCTGTTGTCTTCCCACCTCATTTCCTGGTTGACTAAAGCAAAGTCTGATGAGTTTTTGATTGCGATGGTATAATGGATTATTGCTATTGAAATGATTGCCACTGGATATTTGAAGAGATGAAAGTGGACTGATTTTTGTTTGTTTTGTTGGTTTGTGTTTGTTGGATGCATATTGGATATGCGTGGCCGTGCTTGGCACCAACCTGGACACGGGGTATTGCCCAGTATTGTGTCCTGCAGAGAACTGTCTTGTGCGTAGCAGTGTCTGAGTTGTTTGAAGGAGGGGTGAATATGTCTCAGGAAAGATGCATGATAGTTTGTTGTTTTACTGTATCTTGCAGATTCAACCTCTAATGATGAAGCTTCCCACCTAAATTCTTTCTTTTTGGGAGCAGAAAGAAAGGAAGAAAATGAAGAGTCTGAGCTGTTGATACATTGGGATAATCTCTTTCCATTGTATTGAACATTCCTACCTTTCCTTAAGTTTTGTTTCACCAGTTCTGCTTATCATTTTCTCATTGTTGCTGATTCTCTCCCCTCTCTGCTGCCTCTCCCATGGATTTTTATGTTGAATTTTTTTCATTAATGAGTAACTATTTTACACAGAACAATGTGGGGGGTTTCCTCATAAAATATTTCAAGGAAAAAGAAACAAACTGTAAATGCTGCATGATTAAAGAGTCATAAACCATTAACTAAAAGTCAGGATTGTTGCATAGACATTTGTAATGTACGTGTATGTCTTAAATTTTTGTGTGTCTGTGGGATGTTTGCAATTGCCTCTTTTTTCCATTTGTGAAAGAAATTCTTCTTGCTGCTAAGTGGTGAAATAAAACATTGGTAAAGGCAGATTTGATGCTAACTACGCCTTCAGTCTCATGAAAATAAGCTATTTTAGAATGTTACTGTTGGCCTATTTTGTAGCTATTTACTTTACTGGAAGTGGTGTGAATAAGCATGCTGTGGTGTGGTGCCTGGGACTATAAAAATGAGTCTTGCAGTAACAGATGTTGATTAATGATGTTATTTGTAATTATTGTTCCTGCTAGAGGGCAGGTGTGTAAGAGAGGCCCTGCCCTGTGCTGAGTAAAGATCTGTTCTGTGCAGCTCTTGTGTCCAAGTCTTCATTTATAACACGTGCTTTCCTCTGTTGTCAGGTGGCACATCCCCAGTAGCATGGTCAAAGAGGTTCATGCAGTTTAAAAACACAAAAAGATATCCTGTCTCGAGTGCTGTGCAACCTACGAACACTCCTCTGCCCTTAGTGTTTGGGGTTTTTTAAGTGATTTCATTTTTCTGGTCGTGACCCAAAACCCATTGAAATTTGCTGAAGTCTGTTCATTGGAATGGGTTTTGGATCAGGTCTGTAAGTAGATCTCTTTCCCGTCCTGTTCCATGTCAGACCAGCATAATTGGCTTCTCTTCCCTACCATCCCTGGGATAAGTGAAACTCAGGGAGCCAAGTCCAACTTCAAGAATATTTTGTAGTTCCATAACCTGGCATCATGGAGCTGATGATGGGCCGGCATTTCTGCTTACACTGATCAATTGCAACTACTTGGCATGCATGAATAAAAGAATTCTACTATTTTCCTTGTCACTGATGTCTCAACAAATAAATACCTCTAATATGTTTAAATTTTCCATTTGTTCCTGTCACTTGTGAATTTTCTGTTAATACCTTGGGGTACATAGAAGCACAGGTTCTTGATATTAAAACAGACCACTGGGCCACAAAGAATGTTCCTGGGCTTTGTGGTCAATACCTAAAGAAGAAAGAGCTACCATGATGCTTCTATGCAATAAGCACAAGTTCTGCATGTGATGAGGGTTCATTTCTTTTTGAGCTTTTGCAAGTTACAGTTCATACACCCTGCAGCACCCTCATGTCCTTGCATCTGAAACACGAGAACTGCTTCCCAGAGTGTGCTTCCCTCAACACGGTGTTGATCATAACCAATGTTAATGTTAAAATTTACACAAACATTACATTGATCTTGACCTATATTCTTTTCACTGAGTGAACTGTGTGTTTTTAGTCACTAATGGCATCTGCACAGTGAGGATGTTTTGTAAATGTTGTTCTGCTGCAATGAACAGGGGAAAATAGCAAAGGGTGGAGGGTACTATTAAGGAGTTTTCTGTGTGTAGTCCATAAATAGAAATATGTTGCGATACACAATCCTATTTTTGTTGGAGACTACTGAAATGCCCATTGTCTTAACCAGTGTAGATTAGTAAGCTGTAGGATTTTGTTATACTTGATTGCAAGCCTAATGTTTTGATACAATAGACTTCTTTATTCTTTACTCTTTCTCTCTTTCTATGATTTGTAGCCTACATTGAAGATCTCACAAGATGTGTTGAGCAAAGCAGAAGACTCATTATCGTGTTAACTCCAGACTATGTTCTCAGGAGAGGATGGAGTATTTTTGAGATGGAAAACAGACTCCATAACATGCTAGTCAGTGGCGAAATCAAAGTTATTTTGATTGAGTGTACTGAATTAAAAGGGAAAGTGAATTATCATGAAGTGGAATCCTTAAAGCACACCATCAAACTTCTCTCAGTGGTCAAGTGGAAAGGACCAAAAAGCAGCAAACTGAATTCTAAGTTTTGGAAGCGCCTAGTCTTTGAAATGCCAGGGAAGAAAAAGGAGGTGGTGTCTCGGCATCAGGTCCTGGATTCTGCAGAGCAGGGCCTTTTTGGAGACCTCCAGACTGTCCCCTCTATTGCTGTCACGGGCACTTCTGCCACGCTGGTGGAATCACGGGCTGATGTGACTGATTACCATCAAGCAGACTCTGTGCACATGAGACATTACTGCAGAGGATACGAGTACGACGTGTCAGCAGCGACACTGCCAATCGCTTCCATAAGCAACAACCACACGTACTGTAACATTCCTCTGACACTCCTGAACGGACAGCTACCTCTCAACAACACCGTGAAGGACCCCCAGGAGTTTCACAGGAACAACCCATTGCTACCTTTATCAGCCAAGGAGCTTAGCTTCACCAGCGATATCTGGTAGTGAACATCAGGACTCTTTCGAGATGCTTCATGACCGCCATGAAGACACCTTTTTAAAGAACTTTGCCCTAACCCCATGGGGTGAGAAGACGTATTCTAAGCAGCAGCACACTTGTTTGCTTTTCTACTTGAACTTCTTTGTTTACATTTACAAATTATTGACAAAGGGGGCATTCTTTTTGTAACTCAGTGATGTCCTTCCTGTCTTTTAATGTACAGTTTTATTGCTTCTTTAAAAAGGAGGGGGGAGAGAAAAAAAAACGCACCCCGTCATTTTACAGTAGGTTTACAATCTGGGATGGGTAAAAGGTCACTGGATATGGTCTCCAACATCCATACATATTTAAGTAACAGTATTTGAAATACACAGAAGTTGTTGGGTTTTTCATATAGACTGCAGTACAGTTTGAAATTCTAATCATGCTACAAAAATTATTATCTCCTGCACAGACCCCGAGGGGTGGATCATCCTGAAAAGGAAGGAGGAGGAAACCTTCCCGGTAACGTTGTCTCGCAAATACTTTTTAGAAGATGACCAGCTGAAACAATGCAGATGAAGCTTTATCAGTAAAGTGCATAGTAACAGTTACTGCAGGATAAATCACCTGCTCCCATCAGCATCTCTTCATTTTATTATTCAGGCATGTTGTATTCCTAGTCAATGGTTAGCAATGTGGTTTTACTAAACAACTTACTAGAATATCGGAAGGTGTTTAGGAGGATTTTAAACATTTTTTTTCTGTCAATTATAGATTATTTCATAACTTTTTGCAAATTTATAATGACTTTTTCCAAGCAATTTAAGTATAAATTTATCTGTCTATTGGTCTATTCATTACTTTGAAGTTTCTTAAGATCTCTTGAGCCCTATTAAGATTTGTAGAAAAGGCAATGTAATTTTACATAGGATTTTCTTTCCAAAATCAGTAGTTACAATTTGAAATTAACCTTTTTGTGAGAACATCAGCAATAGAAAATAATTAATACAGCAATATTCAGAGATGAAGTGCTAAATTATTCAGGTTTACTGGTAAATCTGACTTCAGTTGCAGTGATAATCACCCGAGACAGTTTTCTCTCTTGACCATCTACCTGTCAGTTTATGTACCTTTTAAATATGGCAGAAGCAGGAATATTTCTGCTGTCTGTGCAACTAGTGAAAAGTGATATTTTCCAGCAGCTGTTAAGGTCTTGCCTTTCTCACTTATGTGAGTGATCCCATCAGTCAAATAGGATTCTGTCATTTGTCTTTCATGTAAGGCATTCCTGCTGCTGAGGGATGAGCAGTGTTACACAGGTACTCTGCATCAGGCACTGCTGCTCAGTGAGTACCAGTGAGATTTCCATATTCAGTTGATTAAGAGTTGCAGAGTGGAGTATTTAAGGAAAAAAAGCCCTAAATAATGAAGGCAGAAGCCAGTTTTGCAGTTTTTGGCATAGCTCTAATGAAAACATAGTAGATATGAGAGTTTTGTCTCAATGAGATCTGCTGGAGCAAATTCCCAAAAATATTTTTATGGCAGGCAGCCTTGCCTGCGTTTCAGTCTGTCTTTAGCATTGTTCTCTTTGATTGCATGAATAAAAGTTAGCACTCTGCACTCAGCTGCCTGTGGTTTCATCAGCAAACAAGTTCAGTAAATCCTTGACATTTTACAGTGGTTCCTAAATTGTACCCTACAGTCAAATGGAAACAAACACTGACCTAAGACTTAAAAGTCAAAGAATTGGCCCAAAGGCCATGAGAATGATCTCAAATGTGCAATAATTCATAGAGGTCAGTATTTTTCCATTGCTTCTTTCCCCAGTTCTTTATTCTGTGCCCTCCTACACCAGTTATTGTCTGTAAGATTTTCATTAGGTTCTAAATAATACATGTTTCTCTTGTTTTTTCTAGCATTATTATGCATTTGACACTAACACTGAAAATGGAAATCTAGAAAAATATATTAATTTATTACACAGTATAGAAACTATAACTTGCTCTTTTGTGAGGTTAAGTTCCAAACATATAGGTGTTTAATAGACGTATTTTTCTACTGAGAAAGAAAGCGATTTTACCTCCATTATAAATATATGTATTTCAACCTCCTCCCAAAAATTTACAAAATTTGCACTGTTTTATAAGTGTTACAGACTGTGTTTACACTGGCTATGTTCTTTAATGCAAAGTGTAATTTAAAAAAAAAAAAAAAAAAAAAAAAAAAAAAAAAAAAAAAAAAAAGGAAAAAATTCCTAAAAGCAAACCCTGCATGAAAAGAGCTGCATATGTTTAAATGAAAAGCTGTACTTTTCATTATTTTCCTTCCCACATTACTCTAGAATCTGGTTAATTCACACAGAATGTTCAGTGAGATTTTAAACCCGCTAGTTCTGTATTAAGCATGCAAACCCCCAAAAAACCAAGAAAAGTAAAAACATATGCAGGTTGGTCTGATTCTTTTATTTACAAGGACTAAATATGGGTAACAAATTCATTCACCCGATGATAATATGTCTCCTAGAGCAGTAGTTATTCCAAAGCAAAATGCAGTCATGTTTGATTGAGGAAACATGAAAAGAACAGTTTTTCTGTCATTTTGCAAAAGCACATCGAGTGTCTGTGTATTGATATTTTTTAGTTATAGATGCCAAGTCACAATCTGCTTTAAGATTTCTGAGTATGTATTGAGTACTATGACAATATATACATGAATTGGAACTGCCTGTACCCCTCTGCTTCTAGTGTGGGGATGGGGAGCTGAGCTCGGGAGGCCTCTGGTGGACTCAGTTTCGTGTAATACCAATATGGAATCATGGAATTGTTTAGGTTGAAAAAGACCTCTAAGATGATCAGGTCTAACCGTTAACCCAGCACCGCCAAGCCCATCACTAAACCATGTTCCTGAGTGCCACATCTACATGTCTTTTGTGCACCTCCAGGGATGGGGACTCCACCACTGCCCTGGGCAGCCTCTTCCAGTGCTTGACAACCCTTTCAGGGAATAAATTTTCTCTAATCCAATCTAAACCTCCCTTGGCACAACTTGAGGCCATTTCTTCTTGTCCTGTCACTTGTTACTTAGGAGAAGAGACCAACCCCCACCTGGCTACAACCTCCTTTCAGGTAGTTGTAGAGAGCGAGAAGGTCACCCCTGAGGCTCCTTTTCTCCAGCCTGACACCCCCAGCTCCCTCAGCCTCTCCTCATCACACTTGTGCTCCAGACCCTTCTCTTGCCCTTCTCTGGACATGTTCCAGCACATCTGTGACATGCAAGAGGCCACATGTTTCCATAGGTAGCACTTAAGGGTCTGGAAAAATGCAGTCAGATGGTAAAATGCATCTATCCTAGGGATTTGGGTGGCACAGGAACTTGTCCCACTGTGAAAACCACCACCACAGCAGCCCTCCAGCAGGATCCCTCATGGCAGGAGTGACAGCTGGATCAGGGCCTATGTGGCAAAAATGTGAACCTCGTTAGCTGGAATAGAAGGGTATATGGGTATTTTGCATTCCTGTGCCTCACCAAAGCCATGGTGGCTTTATCAGCTGGATTTATCAGGGAAGAGGCCAGGGCACTACCCTGACTGTGCTTGGGGCTGCATCTCGCTTGGGTGACTCTGCAGCCCCGCCACCCCCAACTTTGTCAGGCTGTGCCTTCCCCAGTGACAAAATCACCAGCAGCAAACATCCTTATTGCAACCCCAGGACTTCTGATTTCTGTCACGTTCATTTTAAAGATGATTTATTATAATATTTGGAAGCTACTGTTTGTATACTTACCTTTGTGTGTCATGTACTTCAGAGGCAATTGTGATTTAAAGGTTGTCTATAAAAAGAGCTAGAAATTGGAAACCTACTCAGCTGCTGCAGATTTTATGTTCCTAAAGTAAGTTCAGCAAGAAAACCGGGTAATTTTAAATTAACTAACAAAGCACAGTGAATACTGACAGTTCTTGGGGGCTATGTGGTTGGCTGGTATTTTAATAACATTCCTTTCTCTAGACAGTGGATGAGAAAGATATATAAAGATATTGCCATACTCTGCCACCAGGTCTGCTCCAAAACCCATTCAAGCCAACAGGAAGAGTTCCATCAAATTCAGCAGACTTTGGATAAGGCCATAAATCTTATGTTTACTGTGTGCAGAGGAATACAAAAGACAAAAGGGAGAGAAAGAAGTCAAGAGATTAAGGAGCATTTGCTTATTTATTCTGTCTGAAATCAAGCTTATTTTTGTCCCTGTTTGGTGTGGATATGCTCCAGGACCATCCAGCCTTGGGAAAGGAATTTTGTTCATTCTTTGTTATAAACAAGATAAGGACTTGGGAATAAATAACAGATACTTCTGCAGGGGGGAAAAAAATCATTATTTTTAAGGGCTTCTGCTCTCAGTAGTTCCTTTGATTCAACAAGCTTTCTCTGTTCATCCAAATGCATAAGCACATACTTAAATTCCCCTTAATTCAGTGAGAAATACTTTGCTGAGCAGGGGCTGGAAGGGCACTTCAGTGCCAGAAATCACAGCATTCAGCAGCCTTTAGAATTGTGCCCTTATGGAATGCTCTGAGCAGCTTTCCCAGTGTCCATCTCTGAATGGACACTGAGTTGAGCTTTCTGGCAGGGCAGCTGTCAGGTCTCACAGTCCTGGACACAGGAAAGGAAGTGTCCAATGCAGGTTAGCCCTGGCAGTGACACTGCCCTGGGAACTGTGTCATAGATAGGAGATCAGTGGGGATTTTGGGTTGTCTCCAGTTGGGCAACTGTGAGTTTATCCCATGGGATGGCTTGGTTAGAAATACTGTGTGCAAGAGACGTCAACCTCCATGCAGCATTTTGTCCATCCCCCCTTTGAGGTTCATGCTGGGGCTGCAAAGTTACTGGGACGCTAAGAAATAAGTGGGCAGTGAGAAGAAGGGTTTTCCAGGCAGAACCACTGATTGACTACAGGACAATGGCAGCTCTTGCATGAATGCATCATGTTTGTCCACTATTCAATGGATGCTGTGCAAAGTTCCCCAGAAAAATGTCATTTCTTGCCAGCTCAGTTGCTTCAGACCCCTTGTCTCGATAATTTTAAAATTAAATTTTAATGGATTGGATGGAAAACTTTCTTTGTTTCATCCAGAGGGATAAAAAAAAAAAAAAAAATGGAAAAAGCTGCTTCTTTATGTGTGGGAAAATTCCCCACAGAGTAATAACTCACACTTTTTGCAGTCCCATGGGTTTTAAACTTGCACGTAATGCCAGTAGTGTTTCCACATCACTCTAGTGGGGCGGATGAGATGATGGTTTCTGCTGTGCAGTGGATCCCATCACTGCAGAGCTCAGCCTCTGGCACTGCCATTCCAGCAAACTGAATTGCTCATTTTTGCCACTGCCCCGTTCTACCAGACGTACATTCCAACAAGCACTGTCCAGAACAAAGTGGGTTCCAAACATCACTGGTCAGGGCTGTCTCAACAGCAGTTCTGCAGCTCTTGCAACACATCATTGCCGGGTGCTGTATCAGTTTGCTGTCCCCAGGGGTCTGACAGTGCAATCACAGCCAGAGCCTGGTTGTCCAAAGCAATTAAGCCACACAGGAGCCAGATCTTATCAAAAGTCCACAGGAATTAGTCCTGATCCTCAGTTTTTGTAATACCAACATTGGTTAGTTAGGACTGCGAGAAGTGATGGCTGCTGAGAGCAGCGGAGCTGGAAGACCCACACCAAGGTGGCAGGGAGCCAATGGGTCTGAAGGAAAATGGGTATCTGACTGGCAAGTAATATTAATTTAAAATAATCAATATTGGCCTGCTTGTTTATAAAATAACAAAAACTACAGAAAAATACCTTCCTCTGTGGTCTTGGAAGCATTTAAGCTTTTGAAATTTCATAAATAACAGTGATTAAAACAGTTCCATTTTGGCACTAGTTAACCCAGCAAATGTTAAAAATATGGCATTTTGGAATAATTTGTTACAGGAAGAAAGCAGAATTTGAAAATGGAAAGTAATGGCACATCATGTTCCTGCAAACACAAAGAACAGCATTCTGAAAAGTAATTTGCTTCTCCAAAGAAAGGACCCGCAGCATTTGTGATATTGAGGGAGGGACAACTTTGCAATGCTTACCACTGGAAGCCATTTGATGTGTTCAATGCCACTGGAGAAATTCAGAGGTTAATAAGGCTACTCCAAAGAGGTATAAGACAATGTCTCAAAAAAAAAGGAAACACAAAGTAAAAGTTACCAATCTTTGCCAGGATATTTGTCATATAAATATAAAAAATCAGCACTGCCAGTAGAAGGATAACCTGTCAGCATTTTCTCTTCTTTGCAATACCATTGTAAAGCTACAGACCAAGCAGTAAAGCAAATAAATAATAATAATAAAAATACAGTTTGTCAAGCTGAGCCAGATTCTCACGGTAGGTATTCTCTAAACAACTCCTCTAATTCATTTTGATAGAGTGTAATTGGCTTTACAAGGTTTTAAGAGCTTTCTTCTCTTCAGGACAAGCACAAAGACAAAACAATGTACTTTATATTGGATGAGTTTTGCAAATTTCTAAGACTCTAAAATAATCCCTTCATACACAGCAGCGGGTGGTTAATGTTTGCCTGGCTGCAAGTATCCATTTTGGGTATTCAAAGTGATTTGAATACCCAACAGCTACTGGTGAGCCCGGCAGAGCTGGTAGGCCAACAGGGCTACATTCAAGGGCAGTGGGGTACCCAGTGTGCTCAGCATCACTGAGTGGGCCCAAATATTTGGCTGGGCAATACCTAGAGAATAGAGAACAAGTTCAGACTGTGCTCATACTGGATAGTGGGATTTGCAAAACTCTGGTGCCCTCTTTTAATGGAGAAATACAGGCAAGCCAAGGTGGGAACGAAAATTGTCAAAGGAAGAATTGTGCACCTCATTTCTTTCTAAATCCAAACTATTTGGGATTCAGAGCATGCCCTGGGATTTATGATGTGGAGGAGGGAATTAGTGATTCTCATGCAGAGAGCGCAAGGGGCTTTGCTTTTACTACCAAGACATATTTTCATGAGAAATCCAGACCCTAAGGTGGGCTAGACTTCATGTAAATTAGCCTCTTATGAGATGACTCAAGAAGAGAGGGTCTAATGAGATGTGAAGAAGCTTTCAAAGCACAATAAGCTCTGATCACCTCGTGTATGAGGCTTAAAGGTAACTTCTGTCAGCATTTAAAAGGGAGCATTTAAAACTTAGTCCCCAAATAACATTAGAGACTCCATGTCTTGTGAATTAGCATCTCTTCCACAGATTATAACAACCTTTAAAACCCTTAACAGCTCTTTGATTAAAGGATATCAAAGGCTTTATGATCATGAAACAATCAATCTAACACCTAACTCCTCTGGGGAAATATTTTCATCCACCCTTTAGCAAGTGAAGAATAT